GGCTGATGAACTCGACTCTGATTCCGAACCCACTGATGACTCCACATCCATTGACGCTTCCGACAACTCCTTATCCGTAACATGTCCACTAACTACGTCCCCTCTTGCGTTTGCACAACTGTCGCCAGTGATGCGGGAACTTTTTGTTTCTTCTGCAGCTGGGCATGCTTCTTCCGCTTCGGAGCTTGCATCTCCGACTTGCGATGCTTCTCTTGCCTCGGAGCCTGCATTTCCTGCCTCTGACGAAATGTTTTCCAAACAGTCCTCATGCAACAAGGCATCGTAATGGTATCCTCCCACGTCATTGCCCGACCAACAGTACACTTCCAAATAAATGCTTCGGGGCTCCTGCTCGGAGCCGGCTGCTTCTCTTAGAACTAGCTCTTCTGGCTGAAGTTGCTCATGGTCAAACCTTGTGAACACGCGCAAGCGAATAGCTTGATCCGCCTGCAGGTCCACGCCCCAGTTCTCCAACATGAATTGCACTGCCGGAGCTGCGTGCAAGTGACTTTGCAAATATGCCGCATTGTGCTCCTCGACCGACGCATTGCAAATGCTGCCGCTGATTGTGCGCGAGCGTGGTCTCCACCGTTCGTCCGGATGATGTATCAGAAATTCACGGCACGCAGTACAAACAGCCGCTCTGCCGCTCTGCTTTCCAGCGCCTGCCTGCTCAAGAGACCGCTGCTGCACAAGGATTGCACAAGACTGTCCAGGAGACATTGTTGCCTTCGCCCGATGCGCGAGCCAAACGGCGCCCGCTGCGATGCAGCTCGGCTAGGCGACTCTCGTCGCTTGCCAGCTCGCATGCTTCCGGCAATGCTTCCAAAGAAGCAGTAATCTGCAGCAAACGTCTCGCGACATCTTCACATTCCCACGCGCATTCTTGGTTTAAATCTTTCCAGACGTGCCATTCTGCAATCCACGCTTGCCCCAAAACTTTGCGCACTGCATCTGCGGACTGTAAAATTGACAGCAGAAGTGCCCGAATGATGTCAGGGCACGTGTTCTCCATGGCCCGTCGGCACCCATGCTCGATGCTGGCTTCCTGCTATACCGATGTCGCGAAGTTTTGCAGCTGTGCTCCCACTACATGCATATGTTTCCCGACCTTGCGCATGCTGCACTTTTTTCAAGATGCAGATCCTTGCCTAGCTACTTACACTTCCATCCTGGAGCCACACCGGCGTCAGCGCCGTCGATTTCACTTGCTGCTACTGCTTCTCACCGACCTCGAAACCTACTTCTACATCGTGCGGTTTGCACGACTACTCGTGCCGACCTCCTGCAATGCAGCCGAAAACGACATCGGCCTCCAACGAAGACCTGGCTGCGATGTGGCAGCTGCAACAACGGAACCGCAACTGCAAAGCACTCTGCATTTGCGGACTGTAAAATTGACAGCAGAAGTGACCGAATGATGTCAGGGCACGTGTTCTCCATGGCCCGTCGGCACCTATGCTCGATGCTGGCTTCCTGCTATACCGATGTCGCGAAGTTTTGCAGCTGTGCTCCCACTACATGCATATGTTTCGCGACCTTGCGCATGCTGCACTTTTTGCAAGATGCAGATCCTTGCCTAGCTACTTACACTTCCATCCTGGAGCCACACCGGCGTGACCGCCGTCGATTTCGCTTGCTGCTACTGCTTCTCGCCGACCTCGAAACCTACTTCTACATCGTGCGGTTTGCACGACTACTCGTGCCGACCTCTTGCAATGCAGCCGAAAACGACATCGGCCTCCAACGAGGACTTGGCTGCGATGTGGCAGCTGCAACAACGGAACCGCAACTGCAAAGCATCCCCGCTGCCCCTACTTCCGTTAGTTTGCTGCCAAGCGCCTGCCACTATTACGTAGCTCAAGCAATCAAGCAAGGACTAGCTTACGCACCTCAGTCGACTTTCACTCTCAACCTGCCCACCCAGTCCTGCTGGCAAGCCTGCGACACGCATGTCGCATCTACCACAATGAACAGCAGCAGCTTCCGAACGATGTTTTGCTATTCCTCCAAAACGCAACCTATGGCTTCCGCACGTGCTTCAGTGCTTCTACTTCCTAGGATCAAAACTATACGCCGCTTCGGGTATGCCTCAGATTTAATGCGTCTTGCAAAGCGTGCCTGTGCTCTTCCACAATTCGAACCACGCTGTCGAAACATGCACGTCACCAGGGACGCATCGACTCCCTGCCATGTCTTCTAGCAAAAAACATACTTACTTGCACTCACACGGTCCAACTAGTATGGTCACGCACGAAGCAACACGAACAATCCCACGAATTCGACATGGTTGGCTTGCTTTAAGCTAGCACTTCTTCTTTGAGCATGCGACTCTCGAATATGCCAACACCTAGAAACACAGATGCGACCACCAATCCAGGCATGGACAGGGGGGCGCGCGCGCGCGCGCGCGCGCCCCCACCCCTGGCTCCGCTTCTGCTCGACATCCGTCGAATCTGACGGTATCGACATGGTGCGCTTGATTTCAGCTAGCACTTCTTGTTTAAGATTGCGACTTTCGAATACGCCTACACCAAGAAACGCGAGTGCGACCATGGACCCAAGCATGTACAGGGTGCGCGCGCGGCCCTCCCCCCCCCTCCCCTTCCGCTTGACATCCGTCGAATCCCACCTACTTCCGGTGCCTTTCGCCTTTAACCCATTCTGCTTTTCCTATTTCTCACGCTCCAGCGCAAAATCCATTCTATCGCGGATTTCCCAGCACTGCTTCACCACTTTACGCCATCACAACACATGCACATTAAGTTCAACAGGTCCTATTGCTATTCTGCATGCTCGGAAAACCACTTACTTCAAAGTGGCCCACTCTCAGCACGCTACGCTGCTACCGGCCGCGCCGCGGATTTTGCACCAAGGCCGCCGCCAGCAACCCGCAACGTCCGCCATCGTGTATAGCCACACGCGCCGCGGCCAACCCAGCGACTGCCGAGTAGCCGCGGCCGTGCGTGCAAGCTAACACGACGCCAGTCAAAAAAAATGCGACTTCAGACTGACTTCCTCTAATCTTGTAAGCCATGTTACGTGGGACTATCACGCGTACCGTTCACACCATCCCGGAGAGGCTGGAGACGCAAAAAAAAAATGCTACCGGCACCAATTTGGAGTAAAGAGCTTTTTTTCTGGTGGTGCCACCGAAAAAAAGCGAAAGTCACATGTTTTGAGGCCATTGAGTTGTCGTCCAGGTCAAATTTATGGATCTGAGTTGCGGCAAGCCCGAGATTGGAACAATTGTACAGAGTGCTTCCACATGTACAGCTATTGTGGATCCAAAAAATGAGAATAGGATGTGTCTGTTAATATACAAAGCATGTACAGCTCTAGGAATTATAGATTGGCTCAAGATTGCTGAGAAAAAAAAGTAGGTCGGCTCAAACTCGTTGAAAAAACCTTAATTTCCCTTATTAATGGACAGGTGGTGCCCCTATAGGGATACTCCCTGTCCATTCCCTAAACCCCATATAAGTGGACAGTCGGTGCTCCTATAGGGGTCACCCTCTGTTCACGATAATCATATAAATATCATATGTTTCATCCATATAAGTTTTCATTCAGTCGATGTACACGGGTGCTGAATTGAACCGACCGAAGCAGGCTCAGCTGTGGGCATACAATACACATACTCTTGAGAACATCAGATCGTCGATCGAAGGCGGAGTATGCATCGCTTGCTGTAGTGTGCAGGGTGACACTCAGTTACCGGGGCACAAGCATAATGAATTTGCGTGCTGGCTGCATGATGGCGGATGAACCAGTTGCTGAAGCGGGTCTTTCCAAGTCCAAGTGCCCCTGCTGTCCCGCTTTTCCTTGAGTGAATCTGTGTGCAGCAGCTGCAGGCCAATTGATCACCACCGTTTGTAGTCAGACATGGCTCAGACCGAACGGAGCATTGAAGGAGACCCAGGTTTTCAAAAACAAAGATATATATATATATATATATATATAGCAGACACGTGTTTCGGTTGGGGTCGTTGGCACAGCCACAGAAGTTTCAGATAGGGTCGCTTGCACTGGCAGAGAAGTTTCTTGTACGTCCGTGCTCTACTGTAGAAGAGTCGGGAGCCATGGATGAGCAGGACTCCTGGGGGGCAGTGTCTCACAGGTCGCAGTAAACCGTTTCATGTCCTGGAGCAGGCGGATCCTTCCGATCCGGATGATCCGGGGGCGGTGTTTTTATCCCCTGAAGAAGATGTCGCTCGCTTGCAAACTGAAGTACATTGTGGAGCACAGCATGTACGATGTGCCCAGACTATAGGTGGTGATGACAATGCAAATGGCCCTCCAGCCCATTTTGAGTCCGTTGAAAAGCTCTGAGCTCAGAATATATCGTGCGACAGCCAGAGGTCGATCCAATGATCTGAAACCGTGCCCTACTGTGAATACAGTACGTGAGGTGTAACGCAAATGTGGCCGAATGCACTTCGGTTCTCCCACCCGAAGACTTCGCTATCCACCGATTGGGTGGAACACGAAGGCTTCTGTGTCCTGGATGCTGTGCTGGAATCTCTTCGTCCTTTGGCAGATGATACTGCTCGTTTCGTCTGGTTCCTTGCTCGACATGCGATGCTTTTAGTTTGCCTTCCGAGGTTATGTGACTGTGAATCAAGTACCTGCCCCGCGAACTTTTGAGCAAGCCGAGACTTGGCTTCAGTCGTATAGCAAGCTCACTGGAACGAAGCCCTGCTGATCAACATGAGGTAGACAATGTGGCCTCAAAAAATCTTCCAGAGCTGGATCGGAAGGTCATCGCCGGTTTGCTGAAGAAAGGATGCTCCCGTGTACGCCGGTTACGAGGGAAGACAGGGTAGCTAGGCTAAAAAGTATGATGGTTATATTCCAGCAGATATAATGCTCCTTTCGCAGCCCAGGTCTTCGTACAGCGAACGAATGGATCGCTTGAAAAGCAAGTTCCCTGCTGCAGTAGTAAACAGTAAGCATTCAAAAGTGTGTGGTCCTTTGTCCTGATCGTTCGCGATCTGAGGATGGATGGTTGGGTGGAGAAAAAGAAAAGGAAGAAGACGGACCGCAACAGGGTACTTGATGTCGATAAAATGCTCGACGAAATAGATGCCGAAGATCCGGTGGACGACGAGGAGATTGAAAGGCTCCTCTTCGAGTCTCCAGAGCGACCGTGCTCCAGATAAATTCAGGTGATTTGTGCGAGCACATAGCCTTCGAGCCATGATTGAATTGTCGTGGATCTGAGGAGCTCCTCAGACCGTGGAGCGAAGTCGCTTGCATACGAAAATAATGCTTCCCAATGCTTTTGAGCTGAGAGCCCGCAGCACGCAGATAAAGACTGACTTTGAACCATTCGAGGATTCAGCGGCTGGAGGAGGAGTTTGGTGACTTGAGGCGTTTTACGCCTGACGAGGTTGAGGACCTCCTGGGGCCGGAAACGCCGAAGTCTGGAGATCGCGAGCCAAAGCCAAGCGAGCATGGAGATCGCGAGCCAAAGCCCAACGAGACTGGAGATCACGAACCAAAGCCCAACGAGGCTGGAGATCGCAAGCCAAACGAGGCTGGAGATCACGAGCCAAAGCCAAGCGAGCCTGGAGATCGCGAGCAGCCCATGGATCCGACCGTTGGGCCTCATGGTTGCAATTATTTTGTGATGTGGGCTGCCTGGATATTCCATATGACTCTTGCCGTAGTTTTAATTCATATGAGGCAGACGATGCCGAGCTCGTCTTCACGTCCTACAGCTCGGGAGGTTCTTGGCGATAACTGGACTAAGTAAGACTATTCTTGCTCCGGTATGAATCCTTGTGAGGCTGCCCAGCAAAAGTACGCAGAGGCTCATTTGAAGATCTTTGGATCCGTCTGGGGCTAAGCATGCCTAATACTCACAAACATCGAGTAGCATATCATATGGTTTCAATTTTCCATAAGCCAAGGATGCCATCACGTTGGATGATAGTTCCAGTGAAACCGATCTGGCTACGATGGAAGCTTTAGTGGAGCAGAGAAATTTTGTGCATCCAGATGCCGTTGCCAACGACCCTCTTCTCAATAGATTGCAACATCTGCTGGGTGGGCATTCTTTAGTGTTTGTCCCAACCGAGGAAAAGGACGAGCAAGGATTGGACACTTCCAAGGGCAATGCCAAGAAAAAGGCCAGCGGGGACACGATTCCGGATAATGAAGGGAATAAGAAGAAGAAAAAAGGAAAAAAGGCTCCGGAGGAGCCCAACAAGACTTTCGCCGGTCGCCCGCCGCCGACAACCACGCCGTTTCTCTGGAGATTTCAGTTTGCTGCTGAAGCTTTCCAGGAGTGTCCTGCTTGATTTTAATCTAACACATTCATTGCACGGCCCTCGTGAGCTACTGAAAGCCTTCCGTGCTGACCTAACCGTCTAAGGCATTTGTCCGGAAAAGTCGCGATGGCGAAAGACAAAGCCGAGCGAAAGTTCCTGGCATATGTGTCCGAGCAGGGCCTCAGCACGATGACTGATCAGACAGAAATTGAAATCTTCTGTCACGATATGGCAGTGGCATTTCTGCTGCACGAGGCCGGGCCGAGTTCGTACCCGTACCAGTCGAGACAGGATTTAGGGGCAAGGCTTTAAGGTCAAGGCATCTCGGAGGGTATGTGTCGATATGTGGGTGGGTCTGAAGTATGAGACTGGGGTGGTCTGATATATTAAGGGTAGGGTTCAATATTCTGATATAACTTAGGTAATCATCACAGCCCGGAAGTAGGTGTCATATGTTTTTAAAACCCCCTTTCGCAACCGAAAACAATCAAAACCTTTCGCTTAAACTTAACCCTAAGTTCTACTTCCCTGCAGGTCCCGGACATGTGAGTCGTGGCTCGCCTTTTTTTACACGTGCCTTCCGGTGCAGACGATCGATGCAGACGATCCGTTGGCTCCCAGTATTAATATGTAGTGTAAAGATATTACCTAGGCTGCACTAGCTGCTATATGGTTCAAAGTCCGCTCCAGCTGGGTCGCCCTCTGATCGAGCTATAGCTGGGACAGACGGATTCATGCTACTGCGAGCAAACAGCTGCACGCACAGTGCCACTCATAATATTGCGATTGGCTGTATGGACACTATGTAACGGTACGGTACATAAGCTGTGCAGCCGGTGGCAGGTACAGCTTCAGCATCCTCAGCTCGCAAGCGATCCTGCGAGAGCGATGACAGAGGTGTGCCCCGCATGCCACTGCACTGCTGTTGATCCTGCTAGAGCTGACTCAGATGCTCATGTGCAGTCGAAACCTTGCATGCAAACCCCTGTCTTTCGCAGGCCTTCACGCCGAGATAGGCATAGGAGCTGATGGTTTGACCTTATAGAGCATAGGCTGACGATAAAGGGATATCAAAAACTAGATCCAAGACTCCGTCTGGAGTGCAATTGGGACATCCTAGACTCTGGTGCATGCCTCCGAACAATGGCGAGCTGCTCTTCCTCATCCTGTGCCCGGTCTGACATACAATAGCTAGTCAGCTAGTCCCGTCCTCAAATGAACCCAAACCTTAAACCCCAAACCGTAAACCAAGGTGCCCCGCAATGGCTCTGGCTTCGAGCTGATGCTCATCGACAAAGGTTTCCTGGCTTCGCTTTGTGTCTTTCTTCTACATTCAGTGAACGCTTTAATTTGTGTTGGCACGTGTTTTATATCCCAGCTAGCAGTGGAAGAGGAAACGTTCCCTAGGCTTCTATACCAGGGCCGGTTTTTCTGTCCAAGCATCTAATCACAGCATGCACGGTTATGTACGCTTTCGTATGATGTCTCCTAGGGCTACTGGACAAGAAGCTTTTGTAGAGATACAGGTGTTGTGTCTTGGCGGATTTACTGCTGTATTAGTTAACGCCATAGTTTATGGGTAGGGCTTTTGTGTCCTAGTGCAGGATGTACGGTTTTGTACGCCTGTGTACGGGTACGGATTTTGTGTGCTAGTGCAGGATGTACGAAATTGTACGCTTTTGTACGGGTATGGTCTTTGTGTCCTAGTGCAGGATACTCCAATCAAGTTTGCAGCAGTTGAGCTTGGGTTCTGCAAAGTCGCAACCCCCATCACCCCGAATATCCATATATTGGTGCTGGGGCTCTGATGCAAATATATCAGGTCACGTATGGAAAGTAGAGCCACAGAACTACGGGAATGCCTTGTTCGTGGATTGTTGGTATCCTGGGGCTTCGCACGACCGAGCTGCACTCGTGGGGTTTATCCTGCCCAAAAGTTCACTTCGCAAAAATCTAACCACGACTTAATATATGGTATAACTCGGGGATTGTCTTTCTCCCAACAGATTAGTGGTTGAGACTCTTAGGGTCCCGTACTCCTTCCGTCGCCCGGCCCAGGACGTGGTGGGGCTGCCATTTCGATCTAGATCAGGACCCAGGACCAGGGTTTTTTTCACGACGTGTCTGTCGGATCCAAGTACCTTTTTTTATGCTATGGACGAGTTGCCTAGACTTCCTCCTTCTTGTAACTGTTGCCGCTAGTACTTGCATTGTTCAAACTATTATGAGGATCCTGCTACACGGCGAATGTTCACATATTTCTTTTTGGTATGGAAACCTAAATCTTAGCCCTTAACCCACAGCCTGAAATCCTGACTGTCCGAGGTAAGACTAGTCGCTAGCCTCATTGAGCTTTACTCGTAGCAGCTAGCCTACTCTTGAATATCGGGCTAATTATTAGTCAAAGCCTTTCTGAAGTAGGTCATATGAGCCTGCGAGCTCATCAAATTTGTTGGTGCTTGAACCTGTGCTAAGTGCTAAACATCCGAAACCCGTGCCCCTCTCCACGCTGCCCTGAACCTTAAAAAATAACCTCAGCCCCAAATATCCTGAACCTTCATCCATGAACTTCTTCTCACTCGAAGAGCCTAGGAAGCCCCGGGCCCTTTAGATCACACCCCCGCCCATTGCACGTAATTGCTGTCCGCCGCCCCGAACCTCCGGTTTATCGAGACCCCCTTTCCTGGTTCAACAGTTAAACCCTGGATCGAGGAGGCAGCCTGCAGTGCTTTATCGAAGCCGAGGGAGAGGTCACCTTCGACCGGGTTCATACGCCGGGTTGGGATCCAAAACACAGGGCCCAAACTCTTTTCGGCTTTTGGGTTCGGGGTTTGGCATCTGTTGGCAGTTTAATTGGGGGCTTGAAAGGTTTAGGGGTTTCGGTGTTTAGGGGCTTAAGGGGTTTGGGGTGTCGTGTTTGAGTACTACCATAATGTCGGGAGTTTGGTTCCAGCTTGCACGCTAAACCTTGATCTTGAGGTTCGAGGCTTTGTGGTTTCGAGTCCAGGCCCGGTTTCTGGATTCCCCATCCTTAAGCTACTTGGTAGCAAACTAGACTTATAGTGGTCATGCAGAGGATTATCGCTTCGTCCCGCAAACAAAATCTAGAATTACGAAACGCTTCAAAACAAACCCCCGGCCGCTTCCTTCTGGTCTTGACATGGCCTCTATATCCCTACGACACATGCCAGGGGTGGCAAAGCACGGGGGGCAAGGGCAAGGACCGATTGGCATGATTCGTTGCAAAGCGAGCTCGAGTGCCACAGCCAGGCCGACGCACGTCGGTGTTCGGAAATCATTACCTGCCTGCCCGCAGGACTCTATGTTGGATCGTGGTTTCCAATCTGACAGAAGAGCCTTGCTGTGAGATCCAAAGCCCAACTCCTACAGACCGCCGAATAATTTTAATCCTAACCTATAGGTGGGAATATACCCCGGGCATCTTCCACTCCAGTAGTCTTGCTACATATTATTTGTGGGCATAGATGCTAGTCATAAACTATTGATTGTAGATATCCTGGATTGAAAGGATAGCTTGCTCAGCTGAGCAGCTGTACCCTAGCCCTAAAGCCACTCGTACTCCAAGCTTTGGGCTGCTGACCGCTTCAGTCGGATGCGACCTGCCAATGTTTCGTGCAGAGCTGGGTTAATAAGTCTTTCATGCATTTGGTTCGGTAGCCTGGCTAGGACTCTCTAGAAAGATATATTATGAAATTAAGAAGTGTCTTCTTTTCCGGGTAACTGGGGCTTAGTCTCGAAACCCTGACACCCGGGCAACGTTTCGGTCAGGTTTCATATATAATATATAGTAGAGATTTGAGGATAAAGGCCCAGCTTCTGATCTTCCTTGCTACGACTGCTAGACACCTTGTTTGTGTATACTCGTACGCCTTAAGAATAAAGCCTAACTCTGGACTTAGTACGTATACTTTCACATACCACGAAGCCTTGAAGCAGTTTGACACAACTCAGCCAACTTCTCCAATTTTAAATGACCGTCCCAGATCCCAGGCCCAGCTCTGCAATCATGCATGCAAGCTGTGTGCTTCCAGTGTACATCCTACGGACACAAAACCTCAAACCGTGTATATACGCACACATCCTAATACATGTGTCAGTCAAGAAGATAAGGAAGCCATGTATACACAAACGAATGTGGGTTTTGAGTCCTAGTGCAGGATGTACGGTTTTGTACGCTTGTGTACGGGTACGGCCTTTGTGTCCTAGAGCAGGATGTACGGTTTTGTACGCTTTTGTACGGGTATGGTTTTTGTGTCCTAAAGCAGGATGTACGGTTGTGTACGCCTGTGTACGGGTACGGGTTTTGTGTCCTAAAGCAGGATGTACGGTTTTGTACGCTTGTGTACGGGTACGGTTCTTGTGTCCTAGTGCAGGATGTACGGTTTTGTACGCCTGTGTACGGGTACGGGTTTTGTATCCTAAAGCAGGATGTACGGTTTTGTACGCTTGTGTACGGGTACGGCCTTTGTGTCCTAGAGCAGGATGTACGGTTGTGTACGCTTTTGTAGATAGTACCGGGTTGTGTGTTAACTCACGGCTTCAGCAGGTACGGTACGGGTTTCGCCTGCTAGTGCTGGGCACTTTATACCGTCGTTGCTGGGTCCTGGGCAAGATTAATATGACCATTCACTTCTGAATGATACCGACCTAATTTTCGCAGGACCTCTGCCAGATTTGCAGTAGCTGCCTCGCCTGTCGATGACCGACAGCAACTTTCCGAAGACCTGGTCTTGCTGAACTCCGACTAGACTTGCAAGTTCGAACCAAAATTGCTCGTTTCGGTTCTAGTTCAGGCATCTGGCTAGTTCGATGGAGAGGCTTCAAAACCACAATGTCTGTTTTTCTGTCCGTCTTAAGGATCTTGGCTTCAGCTCGGTGATTTGTTTTGCCTGGCTTAAACACATCCGATGCACATCTCTTTCGCGGCTTTGCACGCTTGTGTACGGGTATGGGTTTTGTGTCCTAAAGCAGGATGTACGGTTTTGTACGCTTGTGTACGGGTACGGGTTTTGTGTGCTAGTGCAGGATGTACGCTTTTGTATGCTTTTGTACGGGTACGGTTCTTGTGTCCTAGTGCAGGATGTACGGTTTTGTACGCCTGTGTACGGGTACGGGTTTTGTGTCCTAAAGCAGGATGTACGGTTTTGTACGCTTGTGTACGGGTACGGTTGTTGTGTCCTAGTGCAGGATGTACGGTTTTGTACGCTTTTGTACGGGTACGGTTTTTTGTGTCCTAGTGCAGGATGTACGGTTGCACGTATTAGGTGTTGTGAGCTATAGGAAGTACGGTGTTGTACGCCTTTGTACGGGTACCGGTTGTGTGTTCATTTACGGCTTTAGACGGGTACGGATTTCGCCTGGTAGTGCACTAGTGGTCTGCATCTATTATGCATAATTTGGAGGCTTCCTGTACGGCTGGGTGCAGAATATCGCTGCTTGGCAGATCCAGTTGCTCAAGCAGGGTCTTTTCGCATGCTGAGGTTTGATGGCTTACACTACTTTCCACGAACAGAGGCAACCGTACACAACCGTACGTATCCGTACGCCATAGTCAACGAAGAAAGAACCGTACCCGTACAAAAGCCGTACGTAACCGTACACGCTATAGTACTCGGATCTGGGCCCCAATTCCACGGATCCGATGGCAGAATCAGGACGGCTCGTACCTTATGGAAACACAAGCCACCTAGAGGTGTGGTCGATGATTTCGAGTTAAGGCGGCCACCCGACGGCGACACGGCCCGCCAAGCACAGGCCACTCACACAAAGGTTATAGTTTGTGGAGCCTTTAATATTACAACCCCCAAAATATATTGAATCTCAAGCCCTTAAATTAACAACCTCGCCGCAGGCTGAGCTTCGAGCTGCAAAGGTGGAGCTAATGGAGGCCTGTGTTTCTGAGCTGCCATATAATGTTTACACATATACATATACATATACGAGATCACATAATATCTGCTGGTACGTGACAGGCTGATCGGGGCTTGGATTCAGGTGTCGAGACTTGGCTATGAAGTCATCTCATGCCTGGCTTCGGGAGCTCGTAAGGCTTTATGTGTGCTTCTAGATTTATAGCCAAGGCTACTGCAGAGGACTCGCAAGCCACACAGCCCTGGGATGGAACACCGGCACCCGCTGCCAACGACTTCGACGATGACGACTTGGAAAAGGAGTTGGAAAGGCTTATGAGCGAAGAGGCTGGGACACATGTGCCCGGCACAACTACGTGCCCCAAATCCTGAACCTTACTTACCACAACCAAACGAAAAGGGTGTGCTGCGGTTCCTTAATTATACTAGAGGCCGATTGCAGATATACTGTGACACATGCTTTAGCTTTCTGATAGACACACAAACAGCTTAGATTCTAAACCCTATGCCCCTCTCCAAATACCCCAAAGACCGGAAACCACGAACACCAAAGTCCTAAAGCCCCGAGCCATAAAGGAGTGTAGTCAACAATCCTGAAGCTTGTAGCTTCAACTCTTATTAATAATTGCACCCTGCGATTCAATCCTGTACCCTGACCCGCCCCTCAGTACCGAAGCTAAGCAGTGGCCCGAGCATTGTCCGTCAGGACGCCGCAGCTTCCGCCCAGGCTTCTGAGCCTGAAAGCAATAGCAAGATGCAGGCACTTGAACAAGAACAGGCTACGCTGAAACAACTATACGAAGAAGCTGTGGCCCGCATTGCTAAGCAGAAGCTAGAGGCCACTACGCATGGCACAGCAGCAGCAGCAGAAGAAGAAGCCGAGAAGAAAAGAAAAGCAGCAGCAGCAGCACAGGAAGCCGAGGAGAAAAGACAAGCAGCAGCAGCAGCAGCAGCAGCAGAAGCCGAGAAGAAAAGACAAGAAGCAGCAGCAGCAGAAGCCGAGAAGAAAAGACAAGAAGCAACAGAAGCAGAAGCCGAGAGGAAAAGACAGGCAGCAGCAGACGAAGCCGAAAAGAAAAGGCAGGAAGCAGCAGCAGCAGAAGCCGAAAAGAAAAGACAGGAAGCAGCAGCAGCAGAAGCCGAGAGGAAAAGGCTCGAAGCAGCACTAGCCGCAGAGATAGAAGCAGCTGATGCCCAGAAGAAACGCCGAGAGGAAGCACTTGCAGCAGAAGCAGCTAAGAAAGCACAAGAGGCAGCAGCAGCAGAAGCAGCAGACACCGAAAAGAAACGGCAAGCAGCTGTTGAGGATGAAATCCGAAGAATGAGGCAACGGATCCAGGAGCTGACGGGGGAGACGCCACCGACAATCGGCACGAGCAACTTCAAACGTGCACACAGCCCCACACGAGCAGCACCGAGCCGGAGCTTGGATCTATCGCCACTTTCGAAACAACTCAAACAGGAACACGAGGAGGAGGAAAGGCTCAAAAGGGAGGTTGCAAATGCTACGAAGAAGGCGAAGTTGGATGAAATCCAAAGGAAGAATGAGGCCATGCGACAAAAGCTCTTGGCCTTGGGCAGCAGTGCTTCGACAAACTCCCCGCCCGCAGCAACTCCGAACCCCACTACTTCGCCGGCCCCGGCCGCAACAAATGCGAACCCCGCTCCTTCGCCGACCCCGGCCGCAACATCTGCTTCGCCGATCCCACCCCCGCCTCAGGGCCCACCCCCACCTCAGGGCACTGCGACCCCTCCGACAACGATCCCAGCAGCTGCTCCTCCCGAGACTTCGACGAGTGAACCGACTGCTGCTGATGAAGTGCCTAGACCAATCTATTATAGTACCTAAACCTAAATCCTGAAACCTTAAGTTGTTCTCTGAGGAGTATAAATATTTGTATATATATATATATAGACAGTTATATAACATCATACATTAATAAACTATTACTAGGGGTATACATGTATGTGTGTATATATATATGAGAATAATCAAACCGAAACTTTGAGCAGCCACCAAACAACACACATCTAGTGATCCGAGGCGAACACAGTGGCACGAAAAGAAGCGGCCGCAGCGATCCAGACGGTCCGCCGGCTTACGAAAAACCCTCACCGATGCACGCTGGAGATCCTTCAAGCATGGAGGACGGGTGGTGATGCGAGGAAGGATATGATCAAGGAGTACATGGCGAGTGGACAGGACGTGAACAAGGTCACCGTGGGGATCATTTTGAAGGATATGATGGTTGAGCAGCTTAGTCAATGTTTAGAATTTTTGGGCTCATTGGGCTCCCTCGTTCGTTTCATGTGCTCAGCTCAGGCAAGAAAAAAAGACAAAGCAGTCTTTGACGAGAGAACAGGTGTTCACGCACTACGCCCCCAACGAACAGAAAGCGAAGGATGCCATTGACTTTGCTGTCCAGCAAGGCCGTAAGGATCTCAGTCCAATCGAGCCACAACCAAAAAGTTGTGCATGTTGGTCTACTTAAGGCTGCCGGGACGATCCGAACTTCCCTGCTGGTTCGGGGAACCTGCTGTACAATATCTTCACAGAGTTTTCCGAGACTGAGCTCTTCGAAAAACGTCGCGAGATCGAGGCAAGCATCAAACCACTTGCCTCCGACAACAGACCGGAAGCCAACAAGCTGTTCTCAGAACTGCGACTTAGTGGCAATTCGTTGGCTTCGCTTCGTTCTGGTTCTCTTTCTTCGAAAAACCCTTAAACTAAAGCCCAAACCCTAGCAACAAAACCCTACATTAAAAACTCCAAACCCTAACCTGTCCGTCTGATATCCCTATTCATAAAACCATCCTCGACCCTTCCAGAATAGCTGTTTGCATACCTATCTCAGGTGCCATGAGTGTACGACAGCTACGCCTACGCCGGCTGCCATTACGGAGAGTGCTGCTGCAGGCTAATACGACTTTACGATGCCTTGATTGTTATCGGGTCGGGTGGCTTTGCAGGAGAAGCGAAAGCTTCTGCGAAGGCGACAGCCAAGGCCAAAGGGAAGGCGAAATCGAAAGCTCCGGCGGCCATGAAAACCGGAATATTCGAGTTGACAAAATGCAGAAGCAGCGATTTGAAAGAAGCCCTCCCGCGGTTCAACCGAGCCGAAACGAAAAAAAATATGGAGAAGGAGGTGCTTGCCAAGGTGGGACTTTAAACAGTGCAGCACGTACTCAGAACCCCAATTGTGGAATCGACCCCGGCAGGTCGGCCTGGTTGCACGTCTGCAACTTCAGCTTCAAGACCTCGAGGATGCCAGTGCTGTTATGGATTCGTTGTTAAAGGCCAAAACTGGGCTCGAGGAGAAGTACAAGGCCTTTGGGCTATGTCTGTATGTTCTGCATATGCACTCATCCATACATACAAGTATGTGTTATCAGATGGTGTAGCAGGCCTTAAAGAATCTCGACGAAACCGTTGACGAGGCCGAATGGCAGGAGCATCTAAAGGCCATTTCGCTGTGTACGCATATACATGTTTTCTATCCATCCCTCTCCCCTTCCAAAAGCCTAAACCTTAAACCCTGGCAGGAGGTGGCAAGGGCTTTCTTGGTGTGTGCCAGCAAAGAGGACCCTGTCTGCTGTCACATCATTCAATGGCAAAGTCTGTCCCAGTGTCGTACATACAAAGAGAAGGTGACAGAGTGAGAGTGAAAGAGAGCGAGAGAGATAGAGAGAGGGAGAAAAAAAAGCGAGAACCCAAAACACGCACAAATCTAAGAGAGAGAGAGAGAGAGAGAAGGAGAGACAGATAGAGATATAAATAGATAGAGAGATGGCGAGGGAGTGAGAGACACATAGCAACCATATGTTAGGAGCTTGAAGAAATACGACTCGTGGCAGTGTGAATGTGTTCTACCTGCAATCGCATCCGCAACTGCAGGAGTTTGCTTTGGGTGTGGCCAAGGTGCATACAAACAAGAAGGCATGAGTGAAGTTGGCCCCACTGCTGCATGTGCTGTGCCACGGACCGAGACGTTGCAATCCCTAGTCACGGTACATGCTAGCTTCCATATGAAGTGCAGGGTTTCGCTCGGCCCGACATGCAGCTGGATCTTTATCAGCTAGCAATATGGCTGGCTTTTGTGATTGATTCTGGGATGGGCACTTGATGTACTGTGAGCTACACACATGTACCACTGGCAAACCGATGAACCTTCGGATGCTGTGTCCAACAGTCGTGCTTCCCGGGAACTTCGTGCACCATATGCACTCGGTTTTTGATGCTGGCTGCAGCAGTTAACACAATATCCGGGCATGATTAAGAGCCAACCTGTAAATGCTCTGGTCTATCCGCAGCAAACTAGCAGCTAGCAGCTACTTGATGGTTTTTGATCATGCTAGAAGGATAAGCTGGGCTTACGAGGCACTTGCTCTACATACCGCTTCTATATAGTCTGCATTCTCGCACCTATATATGTGTCTATGTGTGCTTGTTGCCCACCAGCTTTATCCAAGCTAGCTCGTGCTGGTTTTTGGACAAGTGAGCTGTGAACTGGGAAGAGGCACGGGCTGCTAGGAGCTAGAACACAATCATGATCGCAAGATTTGTGACTCAGCCTGCTGCCCACCGGTTTGCAGCACGCTGCGACTCCTCCGTCGGACGGAGACGAAAGATCATCTCAGGTTTTTGCTTGCACATGAGCTCATTTGGTTCTGTTGAATCCTTGCACTCGTTGGTGCTCTCTCACTGCCTCGGTCTCCCTCTCTCTCTGTCTCTTTCTCTCTCTCTCTCTCTCTCTCTCTCTCTCTCTCTCGATCTCCTCTCTCCCCTCTCCACTCTCTTCTCTCCGTGTCTTCCTCTGGCTTTTACAAGCTTAGAAGCACAGCTCCCCACGCAGGCCTCGACGTCCCGGCACCCGAGCCGAAGAGGACTCCTTCCGACCTGCCGTAAGCTTCACATTACATAAGCCGTAAAACTAATGAACTTTCACCCCATATATATAGGGAACACCTTAAATCCTGAACCCTGAACCCGCTAGCTAGGTTAAAATGCACCGCCCTATCGCAGGAAACGTCCAGCTCCGAGGCGGCGAGACTTACAACGACGATTGGATGCGAAAAATGCTGCTGCATCGAGCTCTCCTGTAACCCTGGACAAGCTTTATGTGCCCCAGCAAGAAGCACTGCCGTACAGGCTGCAGAGTCTGGCGAATGCATCTCTATCGAATACTGCTGTCGCTGCTCTACAAAAAAAGAATGCTGATGTGAACTGGATAAGCGACTTGTGTTCAGCCGCTGAAACCGAAAGCGGCAACAACATGCACTGGATCACCAAGAAGCTGGCTGGGAGGAGAACAGAGAAGCGATTCCACGAGTTTTTCGCACGATCATTACCAAAGGTATCGAAAATCAAGTTGCCGCTGCTGGTGTCGAAGAAGAAGAAACTTGTGGTTGAGAAACCATGCAGAGACTTGTTCAAACTTCCATCGTCGAACGTTCATGCTCTTGTAGTTTTCCGCACAACCTTCCTTAACCAACTTAAGGTATCGTTCTTCCGAGCTCCTACATGTCGTGGTTGGAGAAGCGGCCTTGGTTATTGCAAGCCATCTGCTTTGGTTCTTCTACGCCGCAAGATCGCGAGCTGCTGCTTGGTTTGTAAGTCAGGATCAGGTGCACTAGGCTAGTTTGCAGGAGCTACTTCGCTTCTGACAGATACGAGCAGCTCAGGTTGAGCAGCACTTTGCAGAACGGCGACGTTGGCTACACTGGAGGTCTTGTACCCTAACCTCGAAATTACCCTAAGCCCTTAACTCTAAATAAAAGGGTTCTTATCACGACAGGGCCTGATGATCTCCCATTTCGTCTGCACGGCGATGAGGGTCCTGGCCAAAAGTCCAAGAACGTGCTTGTTATCAATATGTCATTTCCTTATACTCATTCGGGTGAGCCTTGTTGGCAATGAAGCTGTTGTGTCCGCTTGTTTGGTCATGCAATTCGCTCGTGCTCACCTAGGACACTTTGAAGACTCGCCTGTGCCTCGCATGCCTTACTGGTCAAACGGTTCTCACTCGGGCGATGCAAAAGAACAAGAAGATCGGCACGCAATTCCCCGCGACCTTGGATGTTCTTATGAGCTTCCTCAAAGATGATTTGAAGAAAGTGTGCCTAGACCGGGTTATTCTGTGCTAAGTTTTCTGGCCCATAAGACCACTTATTGATGTCGAGTCTCCAGGAGATTCAAACTTGATGGCATATCTTCCAGAAAGCTATGCTATATGGGATTGGCTGGGGACCAGAAGTGGTTCCAACAGATCCTGCATTTGCCTGTGCCTCAGACGGGTACATCGTTTTTCTCAATGCTAGTTCATCCCTGGCTCAGTCCTCGACACTGGAAGGGGAACGGCGAGGCCAATGGAAACAGGCCCGGACATGCTCTCGTTCGGCTTTGAGGGTCTGTGGGGTAAATGTGCTTTTTCGAGGTTATTTGTTAGGCTTCAGGTACCCAACTAGGAAGTGGGGGGATGATATTTGAAGTAGGCAGGTCTACACATAATCCTTATGTAGCCTAAAGCCCGAACCGAACCCTCACTCCTAAATACTTGGAAGTGACGAGCTAGATCTGTGTGCAGGATGTGCATGCAGTGCCAGCATCTAGGAAAGCATCTGGGTCCAAATATTGCGAAGCCGTGCGACCTTAACTCATCCCAGGCTTTCCTCCACGATAGATTTGATGGATGGTGCAACATTCTTATCTATGGGGTCCGGGCACTACCTGAACTTCTTCGGAGATTCTCCTTGGGAGCTTTGTGGTCGCGAAAAAAATACAGAGGCTTGTCTGCCAGAGGCAAACATTTTTTGATCGTAACAAGTTCAACTGAGGACTTCTTGCAAGAGCTCTGGACTGCCCAAAGGGGGCACGGAATCCCTGCACTCTGCGACTTCGATGGCTTCGACAGCAAGCTGATCCACTTCGACACATTACATGTGTGCTACAGGGGTTTTGGGCCAGACTTTACCGCTTCAGTCATGCAAGACCTTTTTCTGGGAAACGGAGGCTTGACAAAAGCTCACACTCTTGCCTCTACATGGGCGAAAGCCCAAGGCCTCGAACTTGCTTGCGACGACTTCAATCTAAATGCAGATGAGAAGTACGCTTTCCTTAATGCTAAGGGTGCAGACATCAAAGTCATATGTTTATGGCTTGTTCCTGGAGCTGACAGCAACTGTTTTTAAGCGCTTTTTTTTGTCGAATAGTCTACCGGTAACCACCCTTACCCCGGCCTGTACCCTGTATACTCTAAAACCAGAGCCCTAAGCCTTAATAATACATACAGGCCTGAATTTCTGCATAGCTACAGAAGCCCAGGCAGTATTGGTTCCGGTGGCTACGAAAACCTGGGCAGATAAGGAGAAAGCTGCAGTGCTGAATCTGAGACATGACTTCACAGTTTCGGAATTCAGATAAAGGCAAGTGCCATGCCTTTAAGCTTGGATCCAAGGACCGTCCGGTCATTGGCTCGGCTGATCAAACTCATGGATGCTTATCTCTACGTATTCCCACCGTCTGCTGTTGCAAAAGCGAAGAAGCTGGTTCGCCGTTTTTTGGTGGGCTACGTGTACCTGGCATATGATGCTTTTTGTGCCGGCAAACGCCGGTACAAGCTGAGACCAAAGATTCTTGCTCTGCATTAAACACATTGCAACATAATATGTTTCTGGCTTGGAAATGAAACGTCTCTGCAAATCAGGCTGCACACCTGGTTTCATATGTTCGCCGACTTGCACAAGCTGCCCATAAACCCTCGACTTATGTCTTGTTTCGGTGATGAAGACTTCGTTCGCCGGCTTTGCTCCATAGATTCTTGGCTGAAGTACGTGGAGAGACAAATATACAGTACGGAGCATCACGAGCATCGTACTAAAAAGAAGCGGGGACCGATCTGAGGCCAGTGGATGCCATGCTGCGGCTGTGCATAGTACAGCGGTTAAGCGATATCTGGCAGCTGCAGTGCCACACTGGCTCAAGAAGTTCGGCGACAGCTGAAAATCGTGAGGGAGGGGCGGGAGGGACATCGAGAATCGCACCGGGCCTGCCGAAACCAGAACCCGAAACCTTTAATCCCAAAGCCCAAGGTCTGTGGAACCTGAGCTAAAGCCTCACCCTAAGCCTTGCACCCTAACGCTAGAAGCCCTCAACCCTAAGCTTGTGGCTCAAACGGCTCAAAAATTGGCTCAAACTGGCTCAAGCATGTGCTTTGTACCTATCAAAACTGAAGTTTCACCTATTACGAGATCTGTCTGGCGGATCTTTGAGTCTGAACCACCTGAAAAACGACATCTGTCTCGAGGTTTGCCTTGCAAAGATATCAGAATAAGAGTTTTCTGCAATAAAACCTACGGTTCTTCAAATAGCTTCCAAGTGGCACTCGTCAACACAATGTCCTTTTCACCAAAATGATGCCGGTCACCTTTTTTTTTGGTCCCCGTATCTCCTCCGGGATCATACTCCCGTTCAGCCCACACTTCGGATCTTGCGTCTGCCCTTTACTTCAGGTCGACCATCTGCTTTATGCTAGGGACTTCTTCCACTTCTTCGAGTTCACACAACCATGCATCGGCAAAAATCCATACACTTCCGCTTCTGCTTCCTTCGCCTGCCTTGGCCTGAACAAAGTAGAAAGCAACTCGCTTCTGCACAGCTAAGCTTGGGTCGGATGTCGCTCCAGCATATGCAATAAGAGTGAGGCCGTTGTTATGCGCGTCCACCACCTTGATCTCTTGAATCGGCTCGCCGCTGCGCACCGCTTCGCGACACTCGCCGACTTCCACAATAGTGCCCACTAGAGTTCCAACCCAGGGCGCCGTTGTAACCAAAATGTCCCGAAAATTTGCGATGGTTTGGTGCGCAGCCGGCTGGTGGTGCAAGATTTGCGCCTTCTCGATAGTGAGTTCTGTACGCGATGTGCTTTGCAGTTTGCGGTACGGCCGTAGGACTTTGTCTTTCGGGGACACAATTTCCACATTGGTCAGGTGCACCTGTGGTAGGGCCCCCTCTGCACCGGCATCAAAAGCGTCTTGCAAAGCACCGTAATACCGATCCACCAATGGACCCCAAAACGATACTTGGGTTGCGGATGATTTGTCCGCCACCACGAAGTCCAGCACCGCCTTGCGTTCCATACAATCCCCCTTGCTCCGCACCGACACATGTCGTACCGCTTCCGGCATTTGCACTAAGATCCCTTTCACGGACACAAGGGCGCGCGGCTCCAGGCTGTGAAGATGTGCCACTGACTCAATTTCTGTGGCTACCGCTGCACTCGACGCGGCTGCGCCGCTGGTCCTGCGTTTCTTGACAACCGGTGACTTGTTCGACATGGCTCCTACCAACTAAAGACTCGTCTACCTGCAAGAGCCGCACCTCGCAACGCGTGCATGTTCTTGCGCACGCTTCCCGAACAAAACCCTCTTCCCTCGCCTCTCACTTCTTCCATGCAACGGCTGACAGCCCCCTACCCCTTCTTTTAGCCACACGCCGCGCTAGATCCTCGCCCATCGCAGTTACCACTTCCATCCTGTGCTTGCATCTTCAAACTACACATACGCTCGCATGACAACTACAGACACGATGCTCAACCTTCCCATCGATCCCTTGCTGCAAGCACATTCGCACGACACTGTGCCCAACACTTTACAGGAGACACGCCGGTTTTACAAACGCCGCTCCGGACACATTGCTTGCGCACAGCTTCAAATCTACTCACTCACGCTTGCCCATGATGAGAACCGTTGCTTGCAAAAGTGCGCGCACAGTCTCCAAGCGATCTGCCCCACTAGCCGCATTCTCCGCTACCGCGCCGCCTTCCGGCTCCGACTTCACCTTTCCGAGCTCTGTTTTTGGCATCTGGGACCCGGAGCGAGCTGGTCGCGGTGGCAACGTGTGCAACGCCGCGTCATCCGGCCATACCTCACAACTCTCGGCCCATAATTCGTCCCGATGTGCTGCGGTGCACTCGCCGGAATGATGATATGCCTGGAGATGTTGAAACGTAGCCCAAAGACCTGATGTCTTCTTCTTACACCCATCCTGACCGAACCGCGGGCAGCGGCGTCGGGCAGTCCGCGAACTCGCTGCGCGCACCAATGGTGAACGCTCGGCCCCGCGTCCGCGACTGCGACTGCGCCGACTACTGCGGCGCCGCGATCGCTCCCGCCCACGACGATCCTCCCCATGCTCGGTCCTGCACCAGGATCTACTCTCACAAACAAGCCCTTTCTACCCCAAGCCATAAAACCGCGTCTGCCTACGTTTTGACGCGCAATACAGCAAACCCTAACCGGAAACCCCTACAATTTCTGAGATCGACTTGCGCGCCGCCGCTCCAACCGCAAAACCTGGGTCTGGAATTCCAATCCGCCCTGGCTTGCGGTGGAGTCTGGCAGTGCGTATTTTGTCGGCCGGCGCTGGCAGCGATGCTGGGTCTGGCATTCCAAGCCGCCCAGATACGCGACCAACTCCGGATTCGAAACACCTTCGCCCCCCTCACTACCTCAGTGGATTCCGAAATGCAACCCGCGCCCTCATACTGCCCGGTCCTTCTTTCGCGATCTGAATGCGATCTGCGAGGCATGTCCTATACTGTGACCTGCGCGCTGCTTTTCTTCTGGCACGAGCCAAAGCACTTTCCAAAGAGCTACTTACAGCAACTGGCGCGCATGCAAGCTACCAAGTCTTGCACTCTCTTTTGCATCTCCGGCGCAGCTCTAGCCTACCACTGCTTCCGTTTACATGGCCCACGAGGTAGTGGCCTCAGTGGCTACTGAAGCGTGCCCCTGGTCAAAAGCTGTCAACATACTGCGTCAAAGCTCTCTTCGGCGAATCCTCCACGACCTGTCTTCCAAACTCTGCGACTCACGCCCGAAACCTTCAACTTCCAAAAAACCCAAACACTGTTCCCCAAAAGAGTGCACGTCATCGAAAAGCTTCTTCGAGGAGCCAAGTCTCAACGTCCTGGACTCTGGTATGTATCCACACACACACGTATATATATATATATACATATATGTTAAGGTTCGGGGTTTAGGGTCACGTAGTGGGAATGTAATGTTGGGTTGCGGATTTGCAAGTCTTAATTTGGAGGTTTTTCGACATCCAGGTATCCAGCTTTAGAGTACTTCCATCCTCGTCAAATGGCGATGGTCATTGAAGTGTGCGGAGCGGCTCCTAAATGGCAGCGGTGCTGCTGCTGCGCTGACAGCAACAACTGGAGGCTTCGTGTAAAGGACCAAAAGCACGCGAAAGGTTCTTGGGCTAGCGACTCCGTAATATAAACCGTATCCTGGAAACCTTAATCCCCCCTAAACCCCCATACGCTGAAACCTCTTTTGGCCTCCTATAACCAAAATTCCTCCAGCCCCCAGAGTACTTCCTTTTTGGTGCTCATATTTAGACTTGTAGAGGGTACTCCCAAAAAGGAACTACTGTGCAGCCTATGGGCACAGTATACATATAATATTTTAGACTCTTATGAATTCATCGGCCTCCTATGAGGTCAAGTAACCGGGCGGCGCCAAGCTGGGGACTCTGGGTGGCTTCTAGAGTTTTACGGCTTTTAGGGTTTCGGGTTTTAGGGTTTCGGGGTATTAAGGTTTTAGGCTTTAAGGTTTTCAGGTTTAGGGTTTTGGGGTTTAAGGTTTCGGGTTTAAGGTGTAGGGTATCGGGTTTAGGCTTCAGGGCTACCACAAACTCTGCATCCACGAAGTCTTCTGCTCCAAGATCTTCAAACCTTGAACCGAAAAAATACAAAAAAACGCAAAACATCCTTGCACCCCTTTCCACCAGCCAGAGCCCCTTAAACCAAAACTCACACAGACCTAGACACCCTGCAAATCTCCTAAACCAGCTAGCCTTCACTAAACCCAAGCACTGCAAAAACCTTTCTTGGACTTGAAACCACCGAACTCTGACTGAGAACCAGAGCTCATGCAAAAGGCTAGACCCACCCTAAACCCCAAACACTTCATCCCCAAACCCTGTTGTGCCAAGGGCTCCCTGCTTAAAAGCCCCAAGGAGCTCGATGAAGCTCTTCTGCGCAGCCTTTGGGTGTAGGGTTTCGGACGCAGGGCTTAGAATTAAGGTTCTAGGGCTTCTAGTTCAGTGCTTAGGCTGCAAGCGTTCTCCGAACAGCGCTGGCCTCAAGAACCCAAAGCAACATTCCGAACGTCCAACTTCGGGCCAATATGGAACCACGAAGCCCTATCAACTAAGTGTCTTCGACCCTGGTTTGCGCCTTCGTGAACTTCCTCCTCTTTTGCCTTCAGTGCCGCGGCAAACCACGCTGCGGAAAAATTTAGCTCGGCTCATTCCTGCCCGCTTGGGAAAAAGGAGCTGGAAGGGGATGGGTGGCGAGGAAGCTAGGACTGTAGGGCCGTTATTGATTAGAATAGAGTTTTGGGGCAATTCTGTTTTACTACAACATACAACTATTAATGATATACATCCTGCATTACCTCAAGGACCCTAAACTATAGGAATTATGGTATATTTTCTTTCAGGAATGCAGGATTACATCCTCAACCCTATAACACACTTTAAAATAAATATCCTAGACAAGCCTGAACTCTGTTCTAGAAGGTGCCCTTACAGGATCATACGAGTTCGTAGTGTAGGAACATTGTCGGGCTCCGTTCCTTAAAAGAATCCTACTATTTCGCTGATATTAGGCCAGGGCTTCTTAATCAGGTTCCTACACTACCTGGGATTACAAAAACAGTACGAAAGTTCAAAACACGCATATACTCCCACTTAGCGTACTTCACCCACCCTAAACCCTAAACCCTAAACACCAATATCTGGGCCAGGAATGGATCCAATCCCAAACCCCGAAGCCACAACCAAATTCGCAAGTGCTCTAGTGGAAGGCCTCAAACTACTAGATCAGGATTTTGGAGTCCAGAATGGTACAGTTTATGTGGGTGGTTGTCAAAATTATGGCCCCTTCTTTGGCTACCCTAAATAATAAGTGCCGAATGATCATAAGGACTCGAATAGGAACCGTAATTTTGACAACCGCCCATGTAGCATTATTGATTTTTCGGCCCCGGTATTATAATCCAAAACAAGAAAGCCTCTCCGGCCTTGCCGCTCTTCATCCCTGGAACCACGGCATGAAGTCCCCAGAACATCCTAAACCGCAAAGCAAAGCCAGAGCATCCTAGAGAATAAAGCGCAAACCTATAAATCCTAAACCCCTAAACCCTAAACCCCTAAACCCTGAACCCTCATCTAATACCCTAGATCGGGCCCAAAAAGGCCATTCTGGCTAAGCCAAAAGCTCAACAGCTCCCAATGTCAGGGCCTGAACCTTAGTGTTTGCAATCCCGATTGGGAACACACTCTACACCCCATAGTGATTCCTTTTTCAGGTTCATATGTCGAATCCTACAAAGTAATCTCCAAAAGGAACTACTGCGCGACCTATGGGCACAGTGTAACTGTCATATGGAGACCGAAGGAAGAAGATTAGCAATTGCTGGCACAAAGCTGCATGGCTGATAGAGACAGCCGCGTGCTCCATAACCATAATGAAAGGAATTGTTAGGGAATTGTTGGCTAAACCTCCATGGCAAAGGCGACGGCTGTACTTCCCCAGCATGTCTAGGTAAACTTTGACTTTATGTGAAACCGGCGATATCCTAAACTCTAAACCCTCAACCCCTAAACCGCCCTAGACTCGAAACCCCAAACCCTGAACCCCAAGCCCTAAACCCGAAACCCTCAAGCCTCACCTTTTGGTTCAAGGCCAGGAACAGCTCCAGGCAAAGTATAGCAGCAAAGAACTCCTGTCCGAAGTTGATGCAACCTCAAGCCACGAGCTTCTCGGTTCAGGGTTTGCCAGATTTTAGAGGTTTCAGGTTTAGGGTTCAGGGTCTTACTTGCGTTTCGGTTTAGAAGTTAGAGTTTAGGGTGCGGAGATCCTACAAGGCTTTGGAGATTCGCAGTCTGCAAGCCTGGAACCCGTGTTCCTTCAAAAGAAGTAACCCTTAAAACCCGCAAGCCCTCAACCATTAACCCCAAAGCCAGAATGCTTTACACATTCTGCATGATGCCTCCGAGGACACCTGTAAGACCCTCAGAGGACCCCGATGCCTTCTTCTGGCAGAACCCTTTAGCGCATACAAGCTCGTACAACATCCATAACTAAGCTGATGAAGAAAAGAAGCAGAGGTTCAACTCCCTACATGTTATATGTAGCCTTTTAGATCCCAAACCCATGAACCCATGAACCCCAATCCCTCCCCTGAAACCGGAATCCATAACACCGATCGATGCCCACCAAGTGGCAGCACAATGCTCCCTCTCGGCCCCCGTATCCCGA